GGGGGGACAAGCTATGTGCGCTCGCGTCATATCTGACGTCCTACCCCTCCCTCCCATCCCTTACCATGGCGCTGATTTTCTCTATCCGCGGACGCGTGTCGTAGCGGACCTGTGGCTCCGCGCGCGTGTGCGTAGTGGGTGGTGGTGTGCGTGCGTGCGTGCGTGTGTGCGTGGTTGTGGTTGTGGTGGTGGTGGTGGTGGTGGTGGTGGTGTGTGTGTGTGTGTGTGTGTGCGTGTGTGCGCGTGTGCTGTGGTGTGACGTGGTGTGGCGTCTTGGTGGTTTGGTGGTGGGCCAGGTGCGTGCGTGCGTGATGGCGGTGGTGGTGGCGTGGTGGTGGTGTGTGTGTGTGCGTGTGTGTGTGTGTGTGGTGTGTGTGTGTGCGTGCGTGCGTGCGTGCGTGCGTGCGTGCGTGTGCGTGCGTGCGTGCGTGCGTGCGTGCGTGCGTGCGTGCGTGCGTGCGTGCGTGCGTGCGTGCGTGCGTGCGTGTGCGTGTGTGCGTATGTTTGTATGTGTGTGTGCGCGCGTGCGTGCGTGCGTGCGTGCGTGCGTGCGTGTCTGTCTGTCTGTCTGTCTGTCTGTCTGTCTGTCTGTCTGTCTGTCTGTCTGTCTGTCTGTCTGCGCGCGCGTGTGCTGTGGTGTGACGCGGTGTAGCGTGGGTGGTGGTGGGTGGGGTAGTGGGGTGGTGGTGGCGGTGCGCGGTGGTGGTGGTGCGCGTGCGTGCGTGCGTGCGTGCGTGCGTGCGTGCGTGCGTGCGTGCGTGCGTGCGTTGGTGGGTGGAAGTGGCGATGGGCGGGGCGGGGCGCTGTGCGGAGGTGGCGGGCGGATGGGCGCGCGAGAAAAAAACCCGCGCTGGGGCGAGAACGCCATCCTGAACGACGGAGGCAAAACACCGATCCGAAAATGAGGCCCACGCTGCAGCGGGAGCACGATTCGGAACGAGCGGAAGCCCGAAAATGAGGCCGGCGCCTCAGCGAGAGCAGCATTTGGAAAACAAGCCCAAGCGAAAACCCAACTCCGGGAAACCCTGTATGTAAAAAACAGTACGTTGAGGGGATGCCCGCCATCCTCCACACGCCATCAGGGGAAGGAGGGGAGTATATTCATATCAAGCTAGGTGCGCTCGCGTCATGTCTGACATCCTACCCCTCCCTCCCATCCCTTACCATGGCGCAGATCCCCTCTCTACTCGCTCAGTCGGATGTCGAGCAGGGCAATGATCCCGAAACGGTACGCGATGCATTGTAGAACACGGCGTGGCATGGCGTAGAAGAGCACCGCAAAACGTAGTATCAACCTAGCGTTGCATTGCATGCCGTGGCATGGCACGGGAAATGACGCCAGCGCTGCAGCGGGAGCACGAGTCGAAACGAGCGGAAACGCGGAAATGAGGCCAGCGCTGCAGCGGGAGCACGATTCGGAACGAGCGGAAACGCGGAAATGAGGCCAGCGCTGCAGCGGGAGCACGATTCGGAACGAACGGGGCCCGAAAATGAGGCCAGCGCCTCAGCGAGAGCAGCATTTCGGAAAAAAGTGCAGGCGAAAACCCAATTCCGGGAAAACCTGTGTAAAAAAAACCGTACGCGGGGGGGGGGGGGGTCGGCCACTTTCAAAACGTCATCAGGGGAAGAGGGAGAGTAGTATTCATATTCAGAAATTGCTGAATAATTGGAGGAAGAGGAGGAGGAGGGAGGAGGAGGAGGAGGAGGAGGAGGAGGAGGAGGAGGAGGAGGAGGAGGAGGAGGAGGAGGAGGAGGAGGAGGAGAGAGGAGGAGGAGGAGGAGGAGGAGGAGGAGGAGGAGGAGGAGGAGGAGGAGGAGGAGAGACGAGGAGGAGGAGGAGGAGGAGGAGGAGGCGGAGGAGGAGGAGGAGGAGGAGGAGGAGGGAGGGGGGAGGAGGAGGAGGAGGAGCAGGAAATGGAGGAGGAGGTGGAGGAGGAAGAGGAGGAGGAGGAGGAGGAGCAGGAGGAGGACGAAGAAAAATAATAATATTAATATTAATACTAGTGATAAGAAAAATAAGAAGAATAATACTCATGATAAGAATAAGACTAACAATAATAATAGGAAGAAGAATAAGGATAATAATAATACGAAGAAGAACACGAATACGAATAATAATACGACTAATCAGAATAATATTAAGAATAATAAGAAGAAGACGAAGAAGAAGACTACGAATAATACTCATAATAACAATGATACGAATAATAAGACGAATCATACTAATAATAATAAGACGATTAATAATAATAAGAATACTAAGAACAGTGATAATAAGACGATAATACTAGTTATGATAATAATAAGAACACTAATAATACGAATAAGACTAATAATAGCAATACTAATAATCCTCATGATAAGCCGAATAATAACAATAAGACTGATAAGAATACGAATGAGAGTAATAAGAATAATAATAAGAATAACACTGATACGAATAGTAAGAGAATAAGACTACTAAGAATACGCTGGAGAATAATACGAAGACTACTACCAATAAAAAGAAGACTACGAATACGAATAATACCAACAACAATAATAATAATACGAGAAATAATACGAAGACGAATAAGAAAAATACTAATACTACTACTAATAAGGATAATAATACGAGTAATAAGAATAATACGAATACTAATGATAGTCATAATAATACTAATACTAATAATACTAATAATACGAATGACACTAATAATACGATGAAGGCTACTACTACTAATAATAATAATACTAAAAATGATAATAATAGTAAGAAGAATAATAATCATAAGAAAAGGAACAAAACGAGTAATTACACGAATAAGAAGAATACTAATAATAATAATACATAATAATACTACTAATCATAATCTTAAATACTATTATTATTATTAATAATACTAATAATAATAAAACGTATAATAAGAATGCGAAGACGAAGAAGAGGAGGAGAGGAAGAGGAGGAGGAGGCGGAGGAGGAGGAGGAGGAGGAGGAGGAAGCGGAGGAGGCGGAGGAGGCGGAGGAGGCGGAGGCGGAGGCGGAGGCGGAGGCCGAGGCCGAGGCGGAGGAGGAGGAGGAGGAGGAGGAGGCGGAGGAGGCGGAGGAGGAAGAGGAGGACGAGGAGGAGGAGGAGGAGGAGGAGGAGGAGGAGGAGGCGGAGAAGGAATAGGAGGGAGGGAGGGAGATAGGGGATGACAGGAAGGTCGGGGAGGGGAGGGAGGGGAGGGAGGGAGGGAGGGGGGAGTGAGGGAGGGAGGGAGGGAGGGGGAAGAGGGAGGAGAAGGAAGGAGGGAGGAGGGGAGAAGAAGGGATGAGGGAGCACGGAGGGGGAAAGAGACGGGAGGACAAGCAGCAGGGTGCCGTTTGAAACCTTCGGAGGGGTCTGGGCGCGAAGCGGATGAGTTAGTTTGTTCGGTTGCCAGCAACCATCACCCCTCCTCCTCCTCTTGCTCCTATTGCTCCTCTAGCCCCTCCTACTCATTCTTCCCCTCCTGATGGTCACGGTGATGACGACGATGGCGGAGTTGGCGATGACGATGGCGATGACCATGACGATGACGATGCCGATGACGACGATGACGCTGCTGCCGATGATGCTGATGCTGATGATGACGATGACGATGACGATGACGAAGATGATGGTGATGCTGATGCTGATGCTGATGCTGCTGCTGATGATGATGATGATGATTATGATGATGCTTCTGCTGCTGATGATGATGCTTCTGATGATGTTGATGCTGATGACTATGATGATGACGATGCTGGTTACGCTGATGATTATGAGGATGACGCTGATGCTGATGCAGATGATGACGATGCTGCTGCTGATGATGATGATGATGATATGATGCAGATGATGCAGATGATGCTGATGATGATCATGCTGATGATGATGATGGTGATGGTGATGATGATGATGATGATGATGATGATGATGCTGATGATGATGATGATGATGATTATGATGATTATGATGATGCTGCTGATGATGCTTCTGATGATGATGATGATGATGATGATGATGATTTGGATGTCTGCTTATGGTGATGATGCTGTTGATGCTGATGCTGATGGTGATTGATGATGATGCTGATGATGATGATGCTGATGATGATGATGCTGATGATGATGATGCTGATGATTATGATGCTGATGATGATGCTGATGATGATGATGAGGATGAGGATGAGGATGAGGATGATGATGATGATGATGATGATGCTGATGATGAGGATGAGGATGAGGATGAGGATGAGGATGATGATGGTGATGGTGATGGTGATGGTGATGATTATGATGATGATGATGATGATGATGATGATGATGATGATGATGATGATGATGCTGATGCTCATGCTGCTGATGATGGTGATGATGATGATGCTGATGCTCATGCTGCTGATGACGATGATGATGATGATGATGATGATGATGATGATGATGATGATGATGAGGTGATGATGATGATGATGCTGATGCTGATGCTGATGCTGATGCTGATGCTGCTGCTGCTGCTGCTGCTGCTGCTGCTGCTGCTGATGATGATGATGATGATGATGATGATGATGATGATGATGATGATGATGATGTGCCCCCAGAGCCGTCTTCGGCCGATCTTAGCCCAAAAAGTCGAGAACCCCACAGTCATTGCAACACCAATTCAAATCAATCGTTTTCGCCTCCCCTCTTCGGCCGTCTTGGGGGGGCTTAGGCCGTCTTGGGGTCATCTTGGGCTCTCTTTTCATTGGGCTCCTCCAAGTGGACCTCTTGGAAGGGGGTGGGTGGCCGCGCTGGTGAGCCCAAGGCCTCCCCACTCCTCCCGAGCACCCCTCGGAGCACTGCGGCAGGCGGCGACCGCCCACGTGGATGAAGATGAAGTCCGAGGTCGTGGCCGACCGCATCCTCGAACTGGCCAATGGGCAATCTCCCCAGGGAGAAATTAACAGCACAACCATCAACTTTCGGAGCTCCTTCGCGGAGTTTTCGGATCGTTGTTGGGCCTACCTGGGGGCGTCTCAGGCGCCGCCCCTGGCGCCGGAGACGCCAGGGAGGGGGGGGGGTCAAGCGCCGATCCAAGAAGTCCGCGCGGAGCTCCGAAAGTTCATGTTTACCTCGTTTTCTGCTCTTTCAGAATTGGCCAAAAGATAATCTCCGTTTCCATTTTGGCTCAAGGGGCAATATTTGCAGCCTCCGGCGATCCACCTGCGCCAGCGAGCCAGAAGATCTGCAGCCATGGGCCGCATGTATGGCAAGGGTAAGGGCATCTCCTCCTCAGCGGCACCGTATCGCCGCAGGCCTCCCACATGGCTCAAGATGAAGTCCGAGGACGTCGTGGATCACATCTGCAAGCTTGCCAAGAAGGGCCTGACACCATCCCAGATCGGAGTGACCCTGCGCGACAGCTTCGGCGTGCCGCAGGTGAGGTACGTTTCTGGCAACAAGATTCTGCGGATCCTCAAACTGAACGGCATGGCACCAGAGCTGCCTGAGGACCTGTACTACCTCATCAAGAAGGCCGTCGCTATCCGCAAGCACCTGGACAAGAACCGCAAGGACAAGGACTCCAAGTTCCGCCTGATCCTGGTTGAGAGCAGGATCCACCGCCTGGCCAGGTATTACAAGCGCGTCAAGTCGCTCCCCGCCACCTGGAGGTACGTGTCCGCCACGGCGTCCACGCTGGTGGCGTGAGCGGGGAGGCGCGCGCGCGCGCTGTCACAGGAGATGCGTGAGCCATGGAGAGCTTTTACGGCTGCGAACAAAGAGCATCGCCAGGCTAGCCAAGAAGGATCCGCCTTCCCAGAACCGGGAGGGCATGTGCACCGATCTTGGGCTTAGGATGGGCTTGGGCAGGGTCGGCGTAGTTGCGTAGCCCCCTTTCTTCGCCACGTCGCCCATGCGCGCGCGCCTGCGCCGAGTGCCTCGAGTCCCCAGGTCTTCTGGCGACGCGAGAAGGCTTCTCGCGATGGACCTTCTTTCGTCATATTGTTTCGTTGTTTCGGCCTGCCGAGGTCGCTTCGGGGCCCCGGGGCCGCCGAGACACAGCTCGGGGTTAGACGCTGCATGACAGGCCTGGAGTTTGACATCAACACCAACATCGGCGGTGTGCCTCCACCGCGGGAAGAGGATCCCGATCTCGGCGATGCTGGTCATATTCTGGCTGCCAAGGGGACCGACGTGTTACCACCGACACCAGAATCTGGGATCGTCTTCCCCCTGCGGAGGCAGCCCCCAGGCGGCCCAAAAGAGGCCCCCTGAGGGTCTCCAAGAGGCCCCTAACAGGGGCCCACCAGCTGACTTCGCCCCTCTTCTGGGGGTCGGCGGCATGGGCTCGGCCTCCTGCGCAATCCTTCGGTCGGGGAGAGGAAGCTGGAGGGGGACGGAGGAAGCAGAGGAGGCCCCAAGCAGCTGTTGGTGCTGGTGCCCGTTCCCGGGCCCCCGAAGCCGTCCCCCGGGGGAAGGAAGGCCGAGAGAGGCCCGGGCCCCGGCGTCTCGGAAGACCCGGCCGTCGGAGGTCCGGCTCGGCGGCGCGCGCGCGCAGAGGGGGGCGGCGCGGTGGGGCGGCCTGCCGAGGAGGCGGGAGGCCTGAAAGCTGGCCTGTCCCTCCTCTGCAGGAGAAGTTTTCGTCGGGGGCGGAAAAGAGGGGGGTGATGACTAGGGGGGGTGGATATCATGGCGGGGGCCATGATATTTCCCCAGATTTCATGGCTCCTCTTCTTATTTCATTACGTCCCTGGCCCCCCCGCTGGGCCGCGCACATGCCGCCGGTCATGATTTGCGCCCCCCCCCTCTTGGACACACCCCTCTTGGCCGCTCCCGATTTCAGAAATAGTGAAACAACTAGTCGGGGGACTATTCTTGGACTATTTTTGGGGTGGTTTTTAACAATTTTTAGGGTACTTTCTGACTGTCTTTTATCTTTTCGGCCAAAATTCCCCCTGCAGGGGGACATGCCCGACCTAACGGGAGGCCTTCTAAGCGGCAGGGGCCTTCGCGGAAGGGTCTGAAGGCTTCTGGGAAGAGGTCTTAGGAGCCGTGAGGGCCTGTCATGTGGGGACGGAGAGGGAGAGGTGGAAGGGTGACGGAGGAAAAGCGTTTCCGGAACGTGCCGAATGCTTGGGTCGCTGCCCCGGGCCCCCTGGAACACTGTGCCATGTCGGAGTGCAATTTGAAGCCCCGCCTTGTTTGGACATTCAGGATTGCCTAGAAGGCCCCAAGAGGTGTTCAAGATGGCTCACGAGAGCGCAGACTGGCCGAGAGATATCCTAAGATGGTCCTACTCCGTAGCAGTCTTGATTGAAGAACATACTTCTGATCGCACTCTACCGTACACCAGGGCACAACTCCATTGACATAAAGCCCCCGTCACCGTTGGAGGAGCGATGGCGCGGATCGTGGCGGTATTCGCTTTTGTCTCCAAGTGCGGTGCGCTTTCGTTCGAGCGCCACGACCCTGTTGACTATGTTGACGCCGAAGACGTCAGGCAGTTCAGCGAGTCCAGCCGGTCGATGCCGATGAAGGTCGATGGCGAGGAGTCCATCTTGACCGTCGGGGGAAAGTTCGGCAAGGATGCGGTCCTCGCCGAGCAGGAGGCGTGGCGAGCCAGGCGGGCGGCCGAGAAGGCCATAGAGGAGGACGAGTACAAGTCAATCTCGGAGCGCCAGATGGACGCCCTCACTCGCCACGCTGAGTCGGCGGCTCAGAAGGATCGGGGGTGGGCAGAATCCCAGCGCTGACACGTCGATTAGTGAACTGTCCGTTTTCGGTTCTCGAGAGGGCGCCGCGGCCGCCATTTTCCAGGGTTGCGCCCGCCAGGTTTGGGCCCGAGTTCGTTTTCACTGAACTACGTTTTACTAAAGGGGGTTCTGTCCATCCCTGAAAGGAGGAGAGGGAGCAGAAGCTGCTCGAGAAGGTGGCCGACTCCATGGAGCAGGAGGCCGACACGGAGAGCAAGGCCGTGGAGGATGTCGAGAGGCAGGCTGAGAAGCTGGAGGGCAAGCAGGCGAGCCTCGAGATCTGGGCGTTTCAACTTTTTACCACCCAGCGTTTTCACCCAGCTGCGGGCCGCAGAGCCATCACAGCTCGCTCGAGCTCTAAAAATGCAGCAGCAAGATGCGGTCTAGGGCTGCGGCCGTGACTTTTCGTGATGTTTTTTCCCCAAACATCCTGCGGTGTTCTATCCCCGTTTTGAAGAGACAGCGCCCCGCGTTTCTCTTTCCTCCTTCCCCTCCTCGTCCCATCCCTGCCTCCGCCCTCCGCATGCTAACCGCTCCGGTACACCAGTACAGCGTTTCGTGACCCCATAGGGATCTCCACCGACGGCCTCAGAGGCGCCGTTGGCATGCGTCCGCGCTGCCTAGTGCAGCGCTTCGTGGCCCTATCGGAGGTCCACCGAACGGCCCCAGTGGCTTCGTTCGCATGCGTCCGCGCCACCCAGTACAACGTTTCGTTGCCCCATGCGGAGCTCCACCGAATGCCCAGAGGTGAAGTTGGCATGCGCCCGCGCTACCCAGCACAACGTTTCGTGGCTCCATGGGGAGCTCCACCGACGGCCCCAGAGGCGCCGTTGGCATGTGTCCGCGCCACCCAGTACAGCCCTTCGTGGCCCCATGGGGAGCTGCACCGAAGGCTTCAGAGGCGACTTTCGCATGCGCCCGCGCCACCCAGTACAGCGTTTCGTGGCCCCAGAGGCGACGCTCGCATGCGTCCGCGCCACCCAGTACAGCGCTTCGTGGTCCCATCGGGAGCCCGACCGCAGGTTCCAGAGGCGACGCTTGCATGCGTCCGCGCCACCCAGTACAGCGTTCCAGGCACCGAAGACCCCAGCGGCGACGATGGCATGCGTCCGCGCCACCCAGTACAGTCTTCGTTGTCCCATAGGGAGCTCCACCGAAGGCCCTAGACACTTGGTTCGCATGTGTCCGCGCCACCCACTGCAGTGCTTCGTTGCCCCATAGGGAGCTCCACCGAAGAAGCCCCAATGGCCGCTGCCGCTTGCGTCCCCCTCCCCCACCCAGTACAGCGCTTCCTGGCCCCGTAGGGAACTCCATCGAAGAAGGCTGGCCGCGGCCGCATGCGTTCTCACACCTAGCACAGCGTTGCGTGGCTTTACAGGGACTTCCACCGAAGGCTCCAGAGGCCGCGGCGGCATGCGCCCCCCCGCCCAGTACAGCGCTTCGTGGCTTCATCGGGAGCTCAACCAAAGACCCCAGTGGTTGGGGCCGCATGCGTCTGCCCCACCCAGTACGTCACACCCCTCACTCGTTTCGTGGCCCCATAGGGAGCTCCACCAGAAGCGGCACCCACAACGCGGTAAACACAACTGCTTATGTTTGGGTCTTTCGCCCCGATTTTTTTTGCGACGTCGTTTCGGAGGGGAGTTGGGATGCAGGTTTTGGGGACTTCCCCGGGGCCCACCTCATGCATCTAGTTCGACTCAGGCTCGATTCTGGGTCGACTCTAGTTCGACTCCAGCTAGACTCGAGTTCGACTCTTGCTCGGCTCAAGTCGACGGAGGTTCGACGCAGCGTCGACGCATGAGTGGAGCGAGTGGTTCCATGACGGCCCCCAGAACGAGCATCCAGCAGGTGAGGTGGCAGAGGGGCAAGGAGGTCGAGGAGCTGCGCGGCGCGGACGGGCAGTGGATCGAGGACCCGGCCTTCAAGAACGAGGAGTTGCGTGAGCGCAGCCAGGACTCGGAGGAGGAGAAACGGCACTATCATACTTGTTCGGAGGTCCGCGCGGATTTCTTGGATCGGCGTTGGGCCCCCCAAGGCGACAACTCCAGCTGTGCTTAGAGTAGGGGGCCACATGCGAACCCTGCCCCTACACCCCACGATTTCTGAGGGGGAAGTGAACCCCACTCTCCCCCCTCAGGAATCATGGGCGGTAGGGGCAGGGTTCGCATGTGGCCCCCAATAGAGGAGCAAGAGAATGCATAAGCAGAAACTTTCGGATGTCGGCGCAACTTTCTTGGCTCGGCGCTGACCCCGCTCCCTGGCGCGCGGTGCGTGCAAGGGGCAGCGCGGGGGCCCCCGCCTGGGGCGCCCAGCGCGGATCCGCTCCGAGATTCCGTGTGTGATGCTGCCCTTCCTGCCTCGGAGGATGCGGACTTCGCCCGCGAGGAGAGCCAGGAGGCCAAGGCGCTGGTTCTGGCGCGCAAGCAGCTGGACAGCGCCAGGCGGGGTCCATGTCGATCCGGTCGAACCGCTCCGATATCGGTTCTGGCCGGACCGGTCCGATTGGATTCCGATGTTCCGCCGATCCGGTGCGGTTGCGGTCCGATGCTTACACGGCGCTGTCATGCATCTTGGCGCAGCCGATCCGAATCGGCTTCGACTCCGTGCATATGCAGCCCGATCCGACAAACATTCTGAAGAGGGGCGTAGAGGAGCGGGACGTGGGCGGCGGAGAGGGCGGGAGAGGAGCAGGAAGAGGAGGAGGAGGAGCAGGAAGAGGAGCAGGAAGAGGAGGAGGAGGAGGAGGAGGAGGGGGAGGAGGAGGGTGCGCGGAGCAGGCGGCAAGAGCGGCAGCGGGTGGGTGGGAGGATGGGGAGCACGGGGAGGGGAGGGGGGCCAAGCTAGCCAGGTCGAAAGGAGTCAGCGGGTCCCGCCCGTTCCTCACCCTCCTTCCCCATCCGACGTATGACAGCTCCCACCAACGATGACGCCGATGACACGGATTCCTCCTCCTACTCCCTCCTCCTCCCATCTCACGCATTTTTTTGGACGCGCAGCGCACATCGATCTTTCCACCACATTCGACACCACATGTAGAGGCCACGGCCTCGCCCGCCTGGCCATAGATGTCATGCCCGGAGGATGCTTCGCGGGGGTGGCTCGCCCGCTCGCGCGCTCCCGATCCGAAGCGCACTCCGATTGGGCCAGATCTCGCCGGATCAATGCCGGCGTGTCCTGCCAGGGCGAGCGAGAGGATGGAGCTGCACCGCCGCGCGGCGCTGGAGCAGGAGGCCCGCGCCCGGCTGGCGCAGGAGGCCGACGCCATGCGCCGGGAGGCCCGGCGCGCGCAGTGGCGGCACAGAGGGAACGCTGCCGCGATCGGGGGCGCCTGGGGGGCCCAGCGCGGATCCACGAACTCCGCACGGAGCGCCAGAAGTTTTGTTTTCATGCCGTTGCTTCTTCTTCTGGTTGCCGGGCCCCAGGGCCATCAAGAACGGATCTTGGACGACAGATTCTTGGCGCTTCGCGTGTCCCCACCAGCCCATTGAGAAGCAATCGCCGGCGGAGTTGCTCGAGTCGGGGCAGTGTAGAAGACTTCAGCGGCAAGGGCTTCTCGGGAGCGTGTCGGGGGCCGCAGAGGCGGCGGGACCACTGTAGAGTGACCGAAGATTTTCTGTTTCTCTGGCCGCCCTGGCTTTATGTGGTTCTTCTGGAATGATTTCATGGAGATATCTTGCATTGAGTTCTGGCTCAAAGGATTCATGGGCACTTGCTTCAGGAGGGAAAAAAACACATGGACACAATCAATCGTCGATTCCCAGGGAACTGTGCGAAAATATGGGAAGTGGGGGGGAAGACGAAAACCCAGAAAATATGGGAAAATACAGGCAATCCTGTTATTTTTGTCTATTTGTTTGTGTGTCCTTGGGTCCCTTTGTTGCTCTTTGTTGCGTCCAGGGCGGGGCACGCGACTTCTGTTGTATCCAGGGCTGGTATAGAGAAGCGATTGCCAGGCGAGCTGCAGACAGCCGCCGAGAAAGATCCCTGGAGCACGGGCTCTTCCTCCTCCCTCCTCCCTTCTCCCTCCTCCCTCCTTCCTCCTCCCTCCTCCCTTCGCCCTCCTCCCTCCTCCCTCCTCCCTCCTAGATCCAGAAATGATGCCCAGGCAATGTGTCATGATCAATGTGGTGTCGGAGCACGCATGAAGGATCGGGAACGTACGCTGCCATGATAACTGTGGTGTCGGAGCACGCATGAAGCATCGGGAGCATGTGTTGAATGACGCAACACATGTTCCCATGCCGCACGGCGGCTATGTTGGGACGCGTTGGCGTTTCGCCAGTGCTAACTTTGTCAATGCGATGAATTCCAATCTCATCGGCTGTGGACAGGACAGCTCTCGGAGCGTCCGAATACCGCCATCTGGAACGCAGACGGGAAATATAGACGAGGAAGGTGAGGAAGTTGGGGTTATGACGGATCTGGAGGAGCCTGATGCGCAGGCGGGGGGAGGATGAGGGGGCGAATGAGCTTGCGCAACGGAGGGTCCATCAATTTTTCATCAGGGAGGCGTAGGAGTGCGCAGCGAGACAGCCGCCCAGAAGGGTCAGTGGAATGCCGAACACATCCAGAAATGATGCCCAGGCACGTTGCCATGACAAATGTGGAGTCGAAGCACGCAGGAAGGATCGAGAACAGATGTTCAGTGACACAACAAATGTGCCCATGCCGTGGCGGCTATGTTAGGCCACGCGCCTGCGTTTCCATAGTCTTCTCTTTGCCAGCAGGATCAAGCTTCGGATCTTCGGTTGGGGGGCGGCCCGCGGAGTTTCCAAACACCTCCATCTTGGGAGCAGTAGGGAGATCACGAGGAGGCGCATGACGAGGAGGAGGAGAATGAGGTTAGGACGGATCTGGAAGAGCCTGATGCGCAGGCGGGGGTGATGATGATGAAGGTGATGCTGATGATGATGATGATGATGATGATGATGATGATGATGATTATTATTATGATGATGCTGTTGTTGATGATGACGATGATAATGATGCTGATGATGTTGCTGATGATGACGGTGATGCTGATTCTGATGATGATGTTGATGATGTTGATGATTCTTACGATGCTGATGATGATGCTGACGATGCTGATGATGATGCTGGTGCTGATGCTGATGCTGAGGAAAATGATGGTGGTCATGATGCTGCTGCTGATGATGATGCTGCTGCTGCCGATGATGATGATGATGATGATGATGATGATGATGATGATGATGATGGTGGTAGTGGTGGTGGTGGTGGTGATGACGACACTGATGCTGATGATGCTGATGCGATTGCTGCTGCTTCTGCTGCTGATGATGGTTATGATGATGCTGATTCTCATGCTGATGATGCAGACGCTGATGATGACGCTGATGCTGATGATGCTGATGATGATGCTGGCGATGATGATGCTGACGATGACGATGCCGATGATGATGATGATGATGCTGATGATGATGATGATGATGATGATGCTGCTGCTGCTGATGATGATGATGCTGACTGATGATGATGATGATGATTATGATGATGATGATGATGAGGTGCTGATTACGATTATGATGACTATGACGATGATGAGACGGAGGGTGAGGAGAATGATACTGATGATGGTGATGCAGCTACTGATGCTAATGATGCCGATGGTGCTGGTGATGCTGAAGATGAAGTCGATGCTGATGATGATGATGACGCTGATGCTGATGATGATGCATACGATGATGATGCTGATGATGATGCTGCTGCTGATGATGCTGATGTTGATGATGCTGATTATGAGGATGATGATGACGATGCTGATGCTGATGATGATGATGATGATGCGGATGATGATGATGATGATGATGATGATGATGATGATGATGATGATGATGATGATGATGATGATGATGATGATGATGATGATGACGACGACGATGATGATGATGATGATGATGATGATGATGATGATGATGATGATGATGATGGTGGTGGTGGTGATGATGATGATGCTGATGATGCTGATGATTCTGATGATGATGATGATGATGATGATGATGATGATGATGATGCTGCTGATGATGATGATGATGATGATGATGATGAGGATGATGGTGATGATGCTGATGATGCTGTTTTTCATCATCATGAGGATGAGGAGGATGAGGAGGATGAGGAGGAGGAGGAGGAAGAGGATGAGGAGGAGGAGGAGGAGGACTAGTTTAAACTCAAGAGGCATCAACGATGTTGGAATACACGCTCCCTCCAAACTCCCTCTTCACAGGCCCCTGCAACGGTTTATTTCCATTGAGGGAACTGCCTCTTTGGAAGACAACCGTTTGAAGACCCTGAAGCATCTCAAAACATCGTTCGCGGGATTCCAACGCCACGGATCAATCTGACGGCTGCGTTTTGACAATCCTGAATCGTGCCAGAACGCCATTCCTCGGACTTCGACGCAGCGAGTCAACATAGTAACTGTTGCACCCTTTTTGGGATGGCGCTCGCAGTTTTCCGCCCTGTCGTCCTCCTCGTTCTTTGGCCTCCTTCCTCCTCTCCCCTTGTTCGCCTCTTGCTTCCTCGTCCTTCTGTCCCCCCCGAGTCCAAGGTAATTGCATGTTTTTGGTCTCGTCGCCTCGCGGTCGACTTCGACTGGCGGTGTTCCGGCCACGCTCGAAGGACAGCCTGTTGAGCAGGGTTGCTGCACGGTCTCGGCGATATTTCTGCATTAGCCTAGTTCGTCGTCATCCTTGTCCGTGTTGCGGGATAGCCCCCTTGAGGGGCAGCGGATTCTCCCTCCTGCCTTGCTTTGCTGCTGCTGGGAAAAAATAGTAACTGTTGCACCCGCATAATCCAGAATCCTTTCAAAACACTGGCACGCTGATGATGGGAATCCGTGAAACTCTTGCACATGTTGTAAACGAATGTGCGCCGCGCTAAGGCGAGAGGCACATCTTGAAAACGACCCGCCCTCAATCCGTGAATCTCTTGCAACTTGTCAAAAAGAATGTGCGCCGCGCTAAGGCGAGAGCCACATTTTGAAAACGATCCGCCCTCAATCCGTGAAGCTCTTGCCAATTCGTTGAACGAACGTGCGCCGCGCTAAGGCGAGAGCCTCATTTAGAAAACGACCCGCCCTCAATGCGTGAAGCTCTTGCGCATGTTCAAAACGAATGTGCGCCGCGCTAAGGCGAAAACCACTTTTTGAAAACGACCCGCTTTCCATCTGTGAAATCGTCTCCAATTTTAAGCTTCGGAGTCATATGCTGTATGGAAGTCTCAGGCGAAACGCCCGGCCCGCCCTCAACACTGGCCTCGGGGTGCGACAGGGGATGTTACTTGTAAGAAAAAGGAATGGAGGAGGAGGAGCAGGAGAAGGTGGAGGAGGAGGAGGAGGAGGAGTAGGAGGAGGAGGAGGAGGAGGAGGAGTGGAGGAACAAGAGAACAAAGGGATGATTAGAAGGAGGGGGAGGAGGAGGGAGGAGGTGGAGGAGGATGAGGAGGAGGAGGATAAGGAGGAGGGGGGTGGGAGGAGGAGGAGGAGGAGGAGGAGGCAGAATCAGAGATCGAGGTTGCTCTCTGAGGCATCGGGCTCCTCGCCCCTGCCCCTCCGAGCGTCTCGCAGTGAGACCTCCCCCAGGGCCCTCTTCAATGCCGAAGGAGCCCAGGACAGGCGTTGGAAGCAACACCCGGGACCCAGACGTCTCCAGGCTCCGAGGCCTACGACACGGAACGGGACTTGCCGACCAGTCTCTCGACCTCCTTTCCCTCTTGCAGACTCAGCGGACACGGCGGCGAGCCGAACACGAGAGATTTGGTGGAGGGCCAATCGTGGGGGTGCTTACCCTTGCGTACTCTGCTCATCCGGCTCTTGATGCCAGGGCTCGCTGGACTACCCTTGCACCTGTTCCTCATCAAAGGCCCAGGTCGGTTGTCAGATCCATAAGCCCCGCAACGGATGCAAAACACGATAGATGCGCCCTCTCACGAGGAAGTCTCGATCACAAACTTGACCAGACCGTGCCGTAGGAGGTAAACTACTGAGGACAACTGCTCAGCCCACTCTTCCTGACACGCCGCCCCCCGTCGACGGACGACGGCGGGTCCACGACGCACTCCTCCTCCTCCTCCTCCTCCTCCTCCTCCTCCTCCTCCTCCTCCTCCTCCTCCTCGGGTGGGGGTTCGGCGGCATCTAGCCGAACGTCTCCCGCTGCAACATCGAGGTCACCTGCGGACGCGGGCGGCTGACCTGGCGGCCCAGCTCAACGGTGTCCTGTCGATCGGTCGACCGTTGGGAGAGGATGACCTCCAATCT